CTGGCAATGTCAGAAATTGTTGACCTGAGTCCCCTATAGCTCAACATAACAGCATGGCTTTACTTCTTACACTTCGTTTTTATACTTTTCTGCTGGATGGTTAAGACCAAGGTAAAGCAGGACCTATGCAACAAGAGTGGTAGCTTTTGGGTCTGATAAGAAGACTTCATGATTCTGAGTGACAAAACTCAGTGCCAGTGGAGACCCCTAATGGACATTTGGTTAAATAATTACACTGTGCAACCTGCACCTTACTCAAAAAGAACGAAAGAAGGCCTGAAGATGCTGATCCAGACTGCCAGCCTAGGCATTTCACCTTTACCACATGGTACACGTTTGGGTCTGAAATGTTGCTCAAAGGCTTATGTCCTGAAGGATGGTCCCCAGCTGAGGTGCGTTGAGAATTGGTGGAACCTTTAGGAGGTGGGTCTTAGAATAAGGAAATGAAGTCCTGGGGGTAGGCCCTGAAGGGAATTCTGGGACTCAGGCCCCTCCTGTCTTTTACTTCCTGCCCACCATGAGGTGAACACATACACTCTGCTCTACACTCCCCACCACGGTGTGCTTTCCTTTATGATGTTTGGTCTTGCCCCTGGTCCAAAGAGCCCAGGCAAAGGGGCCTCAGACCACAATCCCTGAAACACTGAACAAGATTAACCTCTCCTCCTTTTACATCATCTCAAAGATTCTGTCACAGTGACAGAAAGCTAACACAGCAAGGCTGTAAGGTTACCTGCCTCATCAGAATGGGTACCTCAGAAAGAAAGTTCAGTCTTAGCTGTGCCACCATGAGTCAGGGGTGACTGCTTCTGGGCTACTCACTAGTGGAAACTGCAGAACTGTGTAGGGCTTTATTTGATGCTTGTTATGTAGTTTTCAAACTTCCTGCCTCAGAATGGCCCAGGGGAAGCTGCAGAGCTGCAACCAGTCTAACTCCAGGGCTGGAAATGGTATGGGACATGTCCTTGGACTCAGAGGGCCTCAGCAAGTTAGCTTAGCCGTTGCTTAACCCCTCTGTCCTCTGATGTCAGACAAAGAAAAGAGCTGGGACTCCTCCAAACACCACTCTGGATTTCCTCCCCATTCTCACAGCCCTGTCTCGGTGTAGGCCATGAGTTAGCCGGCACAGAAGACTGGAGAGTAAGTGCCGCCTCAGCATCAGTTGTCATCAGCCAGCCCTGCACAATGGCAATTGCCTCCTCACCAGCCTCTGCTTCACCTGGTTGCAGGGCCATGTGACACTGGACTGAGATGCTGGAAACTGAACCAAAGCAAACTTTTTTCCTTCTAAATTGATCGTGCAGGCATTTTGTCAGAGTGGTAGCTTCAAAATCTTCTGTTTGTAGTTCTCTCAAGGAGAGGCACACTTGCAGTCCATGGACACCCTCAGACCACCGGATCCTTTGGGTCTCACTTCAGCCCTTCTTTGATCCTGCACCATAGGTCTTTCTGTTCCTTAGATGCTCCTGTCTCTGAGCATTAAGCTCAGCCTTTCAGAAGGACACATCTGCAATTCCCTCCAGTGCCATTTCTTGCCACCCATCCCATGCCTGTCTGTGGCCATCTATTCTCCCTGTATACTCTTCTTTTACATCTTAGAAGTTCTGAGCCGCCTACAGGCGCTTGGTGTGCTATGCCTCATACCTTCCTACATGTTACTCCATCACCTGGATTTGGGTTCAGGAATACTCAAATTATATAGGGAACTGATATTCATAGGGTGCCATATGTTCCAGATATTTTTGATTAATTAATTTGAAATAATAATGTACATGCAGTATCCCATTTAATTTTCACAACAATCTTAATCCTCATCCAGGTGTGGTGAGGGATCCCTGAAATCCCAATACTCTTGGAGACTAAAGCAGGAAGATTGTAAATTTGAGTCCATCCTGGGCAACTTAGTGACTTAGTAAGACCTTGTCTTCAAATAAAACTTAAGAAAAAGGGAGATGTAGTTCAGTGCAAAAGACCTAGGTTCAATCTGGAGTGCCAGGAAGAAAAAAAAACTCCTATTTTGCAGATGAGGAAATTGAGGTACAGAGAAATTGAGATTCATTCCTGAAATCTGAGGTCTTATCGGTAGTAGAGACAGAAAATAAATGTAGATTATGTGACACCAGAGCTTAATAAATTACTATGGTTTACTGCCTTTTCAAATGTTATTTTGAATTGAAAATCACTTACCTAGATTAAGATTGGTGGCCTTAAAATGGGAAATTATTATAATGATAAACTCAAGTTCTTAATTTTGTCAGCATTGAATTATATCACCATATTTTAGAGAGCTAAGATTGATGTATTTAATTAGTTCTTATAAGATGTACTGTGAACAAATGCCCTTATCCTGTATGAAAATTCTCTCTTAAATATGCTATCTTACTTGGAGAGAAGTCAGGTGCAAAGGTTTTAGGCTTTTTAGAGGGAAAAAAAGTAAGTTCTGGAATTTTCTCACCGTGAGACCTGCAACTCCAATTCCAACAATTCCAATAAGCTGAAGCTTCACACTCATTATGGTTTCAATTTCGTCAATGCAATTCTGTTTTGAAAAAAAAAAAAAGAATAAAAACTGATTGTATATGTAAATCATTCTTCTCCCCTGATCAATTCTTTCTTTGATACAGATAATTCTGTAAAAGCTAATCCAAGTCAGCCTCTGCTCACCTTTACTCTTGGGCAACATCATCCTGACAGCCTTAAAGCAAAAACATACTTTGGGGGAAAATATAACCCTTTCCTTTTGGTGGGAATTTTCTATGTAGGCCAGTTACTGCTTAAGAGCCCTGAAATCTAGTTGAGAAAGCTATTTTTCTAGGACTTGAGACATTTTAAAATTTGAGACTTCTTCATCCTATTTTTGGTACCAAGAATCAAACTCAGGACTCTGTGCTTGCCTGACAGGGTCTGTGCCACTGAGCTATACCCCTGACCTGACTTTTTCATAATTTCAAGCAAAGAAAAACAAGAAAAATAGCCCTAGAATAACAACTTTTTGTTTTCATATTGCTACTGAGAGTTTAAAAGACTTTCTATATACTTGATCAAATTTAGTATGCAAAGTAGGCATTAATTATTAAGGAACTAAAAACCTTGTACAGGTTTAACTTAAAGTCAAGGCTTAGTAAAGCCAGGTCTTGGGAGTTAGAGAACCATTTCTCTTGCGGTGGCTGCACTGTGCTATAGATCTCCGTCCTTACGTCACAAGGAGACCCACGAAGCAGTGTTCAAATGATCTTCACAGATGGGGAAAACGGGATAGGAAGCAGAACAGGTCGCCTGTAATCCTTATATATTTTACTAGTGCCATGGCTTGGAAGAGTTCCCCTTGTTAAAGGCTTGGTCCCCAACCTATGAAAAGTAGGATCAGTAGGAGGAAGTTAGGTCCTCAGGGTGTGTTTGGAGAGGGTGCCCAGTCCCTGGCCACTTCCCTCTCTCTGTTTCCAGACCAGCATGAGACAGACGGGCAGCCTCTGCCCTGTGGTCCTGCTGGGATATGCCATGCTTCCACAGCCCTAAAGCGACAGGGCCATGTGACCCAGGACTGAAGTGTTGGCAACTGAGCCAAAATAAATCTTTCTTCCAAGTTGATCATGCAGGTATTTTGTCAGAGTGGTAGCTTCAAAAGCTTCTGTTTGTAGTTCTCTCAAGCATACCTCAAGGAGAGGCATGTTTGTGGTTCACGAGCACCCTCAGGCTACCGGATCCTTTGATTGGTCTTGTCAACTCCCCCTGAAAAGCTACGAGAAATCCCAAGAATGCCTCTCTCATCTGCTTTTACCCTTGCAGGAGACAACAAACATTTCTTGGACATCTACCTTGTGTCAGTCACTGGAATGCGCTGGTGGATGCGGGGGACAACAGATGTGCCTTGTTTCTGTTGTCAGGAAGCTCAGTGTAAAGGAGGATTCATACTCAGAAAGAGTGGTAATACAAAAAAGTTTTAGAGACGCTGCTATAGGCGCCAGGTCCCTTATATACTGGAAAGAATGAGCGTCACCCTGTACACAGCGCTTCTTCCACTTTGTCTCTTTTCCCTGTGTTCTTAAAGCTTCCTGTCCTCAGTGCTGGGCACTATGGCAGGCATTGAACACACAGAGGAGACAAGGCAGCTCCTCTCCGGCTTCTTTTCCTCCTGCCAGAGCCAAGCAGTACACTCGCCCGCTGAGGGCTAACCTGGGTCTCCTCGGCTGTCCTCTCTTTTGGAGGCCCGTGCAGCCAACTATTGTCTTCTCTTCCAGCACACTCGGCCTTTCTGCAGTCACTGGCCCTCAGAACACCAAGCCCAAGGCCTGGGGAGATAGCTCAGTAGAATAAGCGCTTGCCTGGCAAGCACAGGGTCCTGAGTTCAATCCCTGGTACCGCAAAAAAAAAAAAAAAAAGAAAGAAAAAAAGAACACCAAGCCCAAGTTCAATGTAAAACACAGAGTAATACTCCTAGCGCTGTCCTCCCCTGGCTCTGTGCCTCTTTTCCTTCATAGCCACCTCCTATTTGTGAAAAACAAACTAAAGAAACATTTATATTGACTTTATTTAGCCATAAAAGAATACATGGTTATTGAAGAAACTTGGAAAATAGATGTTTAAAAAAAAGAAAAGGGGGCCAGGGAGATGGCTCAGTGGAATAAGCTCTTCCTTGGCAAGCGCAAGGGCCTGAGTTCAATCCCTGGTTCCGAAAAAAAAGAAAAGAAGAAACAGCTGTACTCCCACCAATAATTAACACTGTCAGTGATTCTTACATATAGAAACACCTCCCCGCACACTTAGTATATTCAACTCTGTGCTTTTTATTTTTCTAGGTACTCACAATTGAACTTAGAACTTTGTGCTTGCCAGGGAGGTGCTGCACTGCTGACCTGCAGCATCAGGACCCCTACAGTATGCCTTTTAAAAAAATTTTTTTTTTTTTGGTATTTTAGGGAAGGGTCTACAAGGTGTTCAGGGTCTCACTACTAGATCAGACTCGTAGTGATCTGCCTGTTTACAGCCTCCCAAGAGCCGGGATTACAGGCGTTCGCCACCACGCCCAGTCTCAATTGCTGTCTCAGAGCGCCCTGGGGGACAGGGCCGGCACAGCAGGGGCGGCGCAGCAGGCCCGGGGATCAAACTCCCGGCCCCTGTGCCTGCTTGCAGGTGCTTTCAGCATGCCTTTTAAACTTAAGCTTACAGCTTCAAAAATATCTTGTTTCACTAAAAAATTCATTGAAACCATAATTCTTAATGGCATTTCATCAGGATCCTTGAAACATTTCATCATATGAAAGTACTATAATTTATTGAAATAATCCTCTGTTGTCCCATGTTAGGGAACTGCCCAATGCTTTGATTTTAGGAATGATAGTGTAATGAATACTACTTCACGAACCTTTCCACATTCCTTTTCCTCAGAACAAGCAATGAGAATGATAGGTATGGACATACGTAACACTTTAGTCCTACATAATCTCATTTACTTCTAAGGCTTTTGTACCATTTTTTTTTTTTTTTCTAAAAAAGTTTATTTTCTATGGGTCTTGCCAATCCACGTGTCATTACTGAGGGAAAAAAACCTGGCCAATTCCATGGGTTAAACAATGAAATCTCTTCATTCAAATTTGCCATTAATTTTAAAGATTCTTTTTCAGTGCTGATGTTTTTAACATGCTTCATTGTAATCTGTATTGCACGTTTTATGAAATTTCTTTTTATATCCTTGGCCCAGAGCCAAACCCTTGAAACAGAGCTCTCTCTTCGTATCTCACTTCCTGCAGGATGGGCCCAGTCTCACATCAAGTCCCATTTACTTCCTTAAATGCTAAGTACTGTAGGCTTTTCAGTAGTCAATTTAGCAGTTTCGTTAGGCTTTCACTCCCAAGAAATTGTTTTCAGCCTCTGTGCCATTATCCATGCTGGCTGTTCCTCAGGCCAACACAGGCCAACACCCTCCCTCTAATCGCGGATTTAGCTGAGACACTACTTCTAGTCAGCATCCACGTGGCTCCCCAATCTGGCTTATCCTAGGTGCCTTTCCCTCTGTCTTTCACAATTCAACAAAACACCATCCTGTGATACTTTCCTACTGCACCGTGGCCATTCTGTGTTCAGTTCTCCTACTAGGCTGCCAGTTCCTTGTCAGTAGGGAGGAACCTTCTCTTATTCACCTTTGAATGCACAGTGCAGGATACAAGTCAGTAATAAGACCTCACTTCCATGGCAGCACCTGGCCTTGGTGATTGTCACCTTCTCCGCCAAAGATGTCTTCCCAGCAGTGCCTCGCTACTCATGCCCGTGTCCTCATTTGAGCCCAGAACCTCCATTAGAGTAGCCTCTAATATTGTTCCCCAGGGTTCCAGCCTCCTATGTTCTTTCTTCTAAGTCTCATGGATCAAATACATATCTATAACGTTAAGATTCTATAAGCCACCAGCACTCCAATCTCTTTCCCAAACCACAAGCTCGATATTTCAACTTTCTTTTGGATATTTCCACTTGAAGTTTTTTTGGCTTCTTAAAAATCACCGGGGGAGAGGATGGGGGAGTGGGGGAATCACCACGGTAAACACTAAACTCATTTTCTTTTCTCTGTAATGGTTGTTCCTTCTCTACTTTAAAGTCAGCAAATGAGGTCAGCATCTACAGGGAAAAGAGTTGGAAAGCCAGCACAAGACCCTCTCTTCTGACATCCCGCTGGTCATCCATTTGGTACATTTGACCTTTTCTCCATTTCTGTCGCTCATTCCAATGTATCTCAGTTAACATTTCATGCTGACAGGAGGGAAAAGTCTTCCCAAGTGCTCTGCTCAGCTTGAGGCTGTTCATTTCCCACCGACCCTCCACACTGCCATTTCAGCCAACTTGATAAAATGCAAATCCCATTCCAGGTTCTAGGTTCTGTGGTGTCCTAAGCTAGCAGCTGTTGGCCAGACTTCTGTCTTCACTAGGATCTTCTAAACGGGTGCCTCCTCTTTGAAGAGATCATTTCTTACAAGTGTATCTGGGCTTTCAGACTCTTCTGAATACTTAGCTGACTACAAATAAGCACCGTCTCTTGTCCCCATGCCTTTGTTTTATCCCCTCCACCCCAAATTTCTCTTTTTCTTCCACTTGCTACTGAACTCCTATGCATCCTTGCATTTGCCCTCTTGTCAGGGAAGCCTCCAGGGGCTCTGGGTGAATCCCCTGTGCTCCCCGCAATGCAGCCCTAACTGCTTTGCAAGTCCCCACAGCCAGGCGGGACCACTTCGAGGCAGTGCTGTGTGTTACTCATTTCATCCAGCTCAGGAGGACCTATTAAGTGTTTGTGGTGATCCACGACACCAACTGGAGCTTTGTACCATCACCTCCATATTCTCACCTTTCCCCTTCTTTCCTTGCTATGTGTGCTTCTTCAACTGTTTTGCTGACACTGCGTGGCAAAGCTCACTAATGGTCTTCTACGTAACAAATCCACCAGATGCTTTTGGACCTTCATTTAGCTGTCTTCTTCCCAGCCTTTAACTTTATGGGTGAGCCATCTCCTCCTTCAGCTTCCCAGACACCACAGCCTAGATTCTCTCTTACTCTCTATCTCCTCCCAGGCTCTTGTTCTTGGTCCTTGACTTCAGCTTACCCTGCAAGCAACAGTGTCCTGAACTCTCTCCCCGGTGTATCCACACTCCCTGCTGTTCTTGGTCATCCCTATGGCTTCATATGTTGCAGATATGCTGAGCTTCCTACACCTGTGTCATCTTTCAGCCTACCAGCAAGTCCTATAGGTGCCTAAAGCACAAACCTGATTGCAAATAAAATTGCAGTTTCCCCAAAGGATTGTCCCTTTCACTATATTCCCCTGTTAGTACACATCCAGCCACCTGAGGAGAAATATGGACGCTTATGGCCTATCTTCCACTCTGTGCTTGTACCTGCTAGCTTCACCTGTCCTGTGGATTAGGTCTCCTGAAAGCCTCTCTCCTTCCCTACTATTTGTTACTCACTTTGGCCTCTTGCCCTTCCTTACCAGGTGCCAGGAAATCCCCCATTAGTCTCCAACCTTCTGTTTGACCCTTAACATATCACACCTTGAGTTTCTTCCAGCAGTGCAAAACTGATTAGGTTTCATTTTCTGCGGAAAGCAATGGCTTCCTCACACCTCTAGGTCTATAATGATGCCTTTGCCTGCTTCTCCCGAACTGTTGCTCTCTATTCCCCATGGATTTCCTGATGTCCTGTAATCCCGGAGTTTCTTAAGGCCGTGCCTCTGTGCCTGTTGCTTTCTGGGCCTAGAATGACTTTCTTTTGTCAAAACTCAGCTCAAGGATCTCCTCCTATATGAAGCTTTCCTAATCCTTCTCTGTGTCTCTGGTACCCTGTACAGATGCCTCACATAGTTCTATAGCCCTTAAGTAGTCTGCAAGGCTGCTGAGTGCAGAGGCCATGTCCTTTTTGTCTTGGAGTGGAATGGTGCTTGCCTGCTTGACACAACACTTAATAAGTGAAGCATTGCTACAACTTCCTCGAAGAAGTGTGGGGCTCTGTTCTTGCAGGACACACCTCTGGGCCTCGGGAATTCAAATCCATAATATGTGGCAAGAGACTAAAAAGTTAGCCTGCCGCTATTCCCTGGGACACCAGGAGACTGACTTATGGCTCTGTTTGTTCAACATAGAATAAAGTGGGGCTTAGAATCCAGGAGAAGGGGAGAGAAGCTCTCCTGGAGCCCCTCAAAGTAGGACCTGAGGACCTGAAGGCAAAAACAGTCTCATAATACAGGACCCAGGTGGGAGCCCTGGTAGCAGCTTACCTTGTGGATTAGAAGATCCCTTGGACACGTTGGGTGGACCTGTTCAGAACTTTCTTTTCCACAGCACTGGAACTAGACAGTCAGAAAAGAGACTTTAGGCTACAGGAGAGGGAAGTGGCAGCTACTGATCTGGGCATTGCTGCTAAGGACCGGTAGAGCCAAAACAGCAAAGAAGATACAAGGCCTGGGCTCAGCAACCCAAGTTGCTATTTCTGGAAAGACAGTGAGGAATCACATGCCAGCAAACCAAGAAACTGTCCTAAAGCTGCCTGAGTTTTATGACAGGAAGTGACTCAAGTCAGCCCAAACAAGGCAAGAAACTAACTGACAGTGTGTTCAAATTGCTTTTCAGAGAGGAATTGGGGCCTTCACAGTCTATCTTTCAGACTGGGAGACCATATAACTTACTGAGGGGCTAAAGTTTTGCAACCTTTGGAAAGGTCTTATTAGCCAGGGTACTGTCAGGGAAGGAGAGAAATGGTCACAGGGAAACCCAGGGGCTGAAAGAGGGAGCTGGAGGATTGGCTAGCAAACAGGGGTCTCGCCCCAGGGCTAGCCTCTTGAGACAAAGGAATCTGTGTGCTGCTTTTTGTTTCTGGGACACCTTCTAAGATATTTTTATCACAGAGAAAAACTGGCAACCTGAAAACAGTCCAGGAGCTCACAGCCACCTCTCCATATCATAGTGTCTAAGAAATCAGAGCAACTCTGGCCTGGCCCAGCTCTTTGGTAAACTAGAAAATAGATTTTCTGGCTCGAAGGCCTTGCTTGCTTCTGGCATGTGCACAATGGTGCCCTCTGAGAGAATCTGACACTTACTTGGGATGCTTTCTTTGTGTTCCTGTTCTTTTGTCTCCTGTGGCTGCACACCCTGACTTCCTCTTACGAACCCTGTGGTAGGCCTCTTGTCTAGAGTTTAGTATTGAACAGAAACTGTGGCTGTCATAATGGCTAAAATAGGAGGCTGCTGCTTGCCTTTGCTGAACTTATTTTTTATTTTTAATCCAGCTGGCCAGAGAGAAGGTGCTTCACTTCACGCATGACCATTACAAGATGGAACGTCAAGGAAGAAGTAAATCACTCACTGCTGAGTGGAAGGTAACGAGAGTCCCGTTTCCCTTTTCCCGGTCTTTCAGGTAATCATTGTAAGCCTCTTCGTACATGGTCTGTACATGTCGGATAGCCTGAAAGTATACCCAGAAGAGTGAGAACACAGTGGTGGGAAGTTGCAAATGTTCTCTTTCAAAGCAAGGGAAGTCCTTTCTTCCATACCCTGCATATGCTTTTCCACGTGTTTATCTGTATCTTAAGATGATTCCGAATAAATGGAGCAGGATGCAGATTCTAGTTTCTAAAGCTTTTGATGATGGAAGAAGAACCTAGCCAAAAATACTTTTCATGGACTAGAAAGGCTTCTTAGAGAGGGGAGTTTCTCAAGCCTTATCAGGATCAACCCCAGCTCCTGGGCTCCAGCCAGGAGATTCCAGTGCACAGGCAGGGTTGGGAGCTGTGCAGCCACGGCACTCCGCTGGGTAGATGCATTCAAGTCTCCTCAGGACATGGCAACAACAAAAGTTGTTGGTGACCAAGGATGATTTTCTGAATTCAAATACCACAGGACGCTTAGAGGATGCTTTCTCTAGTATTGTAAAGGCATCTGAACCCAAATCCATAGAAATTTCCGAAAGTCCTAAGATCTAGTTCTACTTCCATATGAAGTGAAATTAACCTATGAATGTAACCAGTCACATTAGAAAAATTTTAAAGGAAGCAGTATCTATTTATAGATTATACATAGACCACTTTGATAAGTTCATACACATAAGACTGATGACACAAATTAATCTGAAGTACAGAACACTTAAGGTTCCCTTCTTCTTCCTTTCCCTCCTGTTCCTCTGTGTGATTATACTCCCAAAAGGCAACTTCCTCTGTGGCTTCTCCTGATAACCTATTTTGGGTACCTAGAGTTGGACAGCAATGTAAGCCGTCTTCACTAGCACACAGTAGCAGGCCCTGGTCTCATCTCCGAGGCCATGCTTCAGGGACAAATGACAGTCTGACAAGAAATGACACTGTATGTTCTTCCCATTCCTCTTTCTTATCTGTATTCTTGCCTCATTTTTTTTTTTTTTTAATTTATGTATTTGGTACAGGGTCTCACTATGAAGCTCGGACTCATAGCGATTCTCTTGTTTTCAGCCTCCCCAGTGATGGGATTACAGGAATGTGCTACCATGCCCAGACTTGGGGGCTGCCTCAGCTTGCCTCAGGGTGGGGCCGGCACTGCATGTGGTGCCGGGGATCGAACCTGGTCATCCCTGTGCTTGCTTAAGCAGGTGCTTAGTTTGCTGAGCTATCTCCCTGGCCCTTCCTGCTTCATTTTGAACTAGGAATAATCTTAAATTAGAGCTCCTTTAAAAAAAACTCATGGACCACTTTATAAGTCTATGAATGCTGTGAACTTCTTTCTTAAGGGGTGGAAAAAATATATATATATGTGTATATATATATATACGCTTACTCTATTCTGTCCTACCTCTTGATAAAAAATCCTGCTTATACCATAACTTGGAAAGGCTGTTTAACTTCTTTTTTTTTATTATTTTTCAACAAATAATACACTGCATATATTCTTCTTAGTGGTTAATTGCTGTACAAGATGCAGACTTGTGATCCTATTTACAAACACCATTAGAACAAATCATTCTATTCATTAACAGAATGTAACTATATATCTATCCCAACCACTTTGAATACACAGATACAAAATGGACATTTATCGGTATACCCCTTTTTTCTAAGTTCCGTTATTGAATATTATAGGTGTGTAAACTCAGCAAAATATTCTAAAAGAGTCCAGTAGCCCATAATAGCATTGGGTCTTCTGTTTAACTGGCAATGTCAGAAATTATTGACCTGAGTCCCCCACAGCTCAACTTAACAGCATGGCTTTATTTCTTGTTTAACTTCTTAATAACATTAGAGGTCAACATCCTCATATATCTTGCCATAAGAGAACAATTTAATCATCATCTTAAAAAAAAAACAAGTAATTTTTACTTACTACACTCTTGCCGATAAAAGCAAATACTCCAGTGGTTACTTCAGCAGCAAATATCACCAGTAGGCAGGTAAAAAACTGAAGAGGAGAGAAAATACTTATTTCATTCATTTAATACCTTTTCAATTCATTTACTTGTTTGGAATCTAGTTCCACTGGAAGGGCCTGAGGCAAGTTTGAACTGACTGGCCTAGCAGGAAGCAGTTGTCCCCTTTGTTTCTCTTACGCAACAGCCGGGCCACTTTGTACCATTCATTCACCCAGCAATTGTTTGTGGCGTGTCTATTCTGCACTAGTCCTGCCTTGGCAATAGTCAACAAGATCTCAGTGGACCTCACGTGGGGCAGGGAAGAAGACAACAAACAGCAAAGGATTAAAAATGTGAATAAGAGAATTTCAGATAATGATACGGAAGTCCCACGCCTCAGGACAGGGCCTGATACTTACCAGTAAATACTTGATAAGCAAAAAGGATTCATAATGAGATAAAATGAGGTCAGAAAGTAAAGTCACCAATAGGGCCTGGGCTTGGGGAAGAGTGGAGCACGAACCTCGGGGTCCAAAAGGCTTCTCTGAAGAGAGGGAGAGTAGGCTTATATGTGTGGGATCTTTCTGGACAGATTTTTTCAGGTCTTGAGTTTGATCAAACTACGTTTAATGATAAACAAGACAGCAAGATGAGAAAGAAAATGAATAAAGAAACAAATTATATGTCTTACATAGCAAGTGACCAGAGCAGTACAGAGTCAAAAAGTCCAAAGACTACAATGAGTAACGAGAAGTGAGAAGCTGTCTAATGAAAAGGCTGTTTCAGAGTCCACACGGAGAATTACAAAAACATTCTCTCTTCCCACCCCTGCTCTTCCTGCTTCTTTTTCCTAGGCTAGACTGACATTGGCTAGAGAGTAGTTAACTGGAAGTTTTGATTTTTTTTTTTTTTTTTAAAGAGGCTTCAGAGGTTAAAATAAGCCACCAGAGGGGTGTTTGGATACGGTCCTGCTCTTAACCTGAAATGCCTTTCTTGTAGATAACAGCTCCTCCCTGGCTGCAGGAACCAACTAGCTACCTCACCCACGGTGAAATATTATTTTTGAAAGAACAATCGTAAGCACCTCTCACAATTGCTAGGCACTTTTCCTTTCCAAACATCTTTACCCTAATGATCTCATTCTTTTCCACACTTTCCACATGAGGCAGGGACTAAGACAATATTATTCTTATGCAAGAGATGGAGAAACCCTAGACCTGGGATGATGGAGGGGGTCCTGTGGGTTCTCCTGAGTCCTGGAGGGGCTGGTGCTGCAGGCCAGGCACCCCGAGGCCCTTCAAGCTAGTTCTTCCCCCTCCCCCACCGCACCCCACTCCCTGTGCCCTACTTACTGATCCGAGCACACACTGTGACTCCCGCATGGCTCCGCAGCACCCAAAGAACCCCACTGCCATCATTAGGGCTCCAGCTCCAACTAGCACGTAGAGTCCTGTGGGCAAGAGGTTGGGAGACACTCAGGGGCCTGCTGAGCCTAGCGTCCACTCTCTGTCCTCCAGGGCCAGGGCACTGTCCCTGGCTGTTGGTTCTGTGAGGGCAACACTTGTTGAATGCTTGCTAAACACTTCATAAAGAGAACACTTCTGGAACTAGATGCCCTGATTGCACAAGAGGGGCCTTCTAATCTCCAGTGAACACAGAAGGGGGCCAGAAACTTCAGGAGCTAGAGTACTGCTGGAGGGCACATGGCCAGAAGGGGGACACACCTGCTGGGGCACACTGAGTTGCCACCACTGTCTCCTAGGAGCCAGGCCCTATGCCTCAGGCTTTTACAAATATCTCCATCTATGACAGGTGCATGGCCAAGTGTTAGGGAGGGAGAAGAAGCTGCCCAGGCACAGAAGGGGAAACTTCTGCAGAAGGTGGGACTTGGGGCTTTCGGGTAAAGACAGGAGCAGAGGACATGGCTATAAGAACTGATTGTAATCTCCCCTTCAGAGGGCAACAGCATAGACCCTGGGCGCAGGGAGCGGGGTTACAAGGAAACAGGCAATCAGCGAGAGTATCAGGCATCAGCAGTATTGTCCCATGCTCTAAGCAGCTGAGCTAACCAGCCTGAGCGACGTCATCATGGGCATTAGCTCAACACAGAGCCGAGCGCTTTATCTCAGGATCGGAGAAGGAGTATGCACGAAGGCCTAGGATTTTCAGGCACTGTTCTAGCCATGGAGCCTAGATTTACTAATGTACCTTTCGTGGAAGCCCTACGGAGTATGTATGATTATTACCTCCATCCTTTAAACAGCAGAACTGGACCCCCAGAGGTTACAGCTTGTCCGGGGTCACAGAGCTGGGGTGCTTGGCCCGGGCGGCTCCTTGCTGCCACTCCACCCTGACTGGCTAGCGAGAGCACAGCCTTAATTAGCCTGGTGACTTCACTTCCCACCTGAGTCAACCCCAGTCCAGGGCTCACAGGGAAGCCAAGGGCAGAAGGGCTCCAGCCCTCAGACTCCAGCCAGGCCTGCCCTGTTTCCTCCTCTGATCCTGAGATAAGGAGAAACACAATGTCCCCGGCGCGGCTCCCTGTGATAAGCGGTCTCCCTTTCATTTTTTTACATTTCACTCAGATGCGTCACCTGGAAACCGCTCCCGTTCACCGGAGGTGGGGGCGGCTGTCCGCCTCCTCGGAACCCCTCGGACTGGCCTGCAGGTGCTTCTGGGTTCTTTGGCAGGGCCGGCTGTGGTTTGAGGCTCAGCACACAGACACAGATGGAGCCGCAGGCCAGGAGGCTGCCCTGCGAGCCCACCAGCCCTGGTCCCCGCTGAGGCGGCCGCTCTGCAGCTCCAAGGGAGGCGCGTTTCCTCCCTCCCACTGCCTGTTCTCTACAGTGGAGTTTTGTGGGGGAATGGATGTTGTATCAAGAGGAACTCCCGCACTTCTGTCATTCCGTTGCCTGCTCAAAACAACCCACTTAGCAGCACTTGTTCAACAAATGGAGTCAGAGAGGCAGGGTGGCTGGCAGCCTGGAGGCCTCATTCTTGCCTTACATCTCATGTTAACGGGCTGAATAAAAGGCAGCACCAGCAGCCAGCCCGTATTCAGTTTCTTCCAGGTATGTCTCATGGGTGGGCCGTCACTGTATACTGATCTTCTACTTACGCAGTTCATTGTGTCCCCACTGCCATTGGTACAACTGCTGTGTGATGCAATCACAGCCTAAGAACCAGGATGTAGGAACCAGCCTAAGGACCTCATCCACCCTACACTCCTGCCACATGGGTATCACTGTGATCTGGCGGGTAGATGTCTGCCCAAGCCTGCCTGAGGTCACAGGTGGTGCTTCAAGGGATTAAGGGTGTGTGATTACTAAATTAGTCCACTGATTGGTTTGGTGCCTAATCCCAGTAGCCTAGACAGATTGGTTTGGTGCCATCCTAATCCCAGTAGCCTAGACAGAGAATAAAAGGACAGAAAGAAGCTGCTAAGGTCCTTTGCTTTTTTTTTTTTTTTTTTTTTTGCTACCTTCTGCCCACCATGAACTGTTTCTCCTCCTTGATGACTTTCTGCCCTGCTGCCCTGCCTTGCAGCCAGATGACAAGGGACCGAAACCTCGACACACCGTGAGCCAAGCAACCCTTTCCTCCTTTTACCTTTGGGTGTTAGGTATTTTGTCTCGGTAATGAGAGAAGTAACTAAGACACTGACCATGCCCTGATCTTTTCTGATTTGTGCCTCTGTTGGTTCCACTCTGTCCCTCTCTGTAGATTTTAAGTCCACAAGCAAACCTTAGTCATCCTCCCTAGAATATGCCAGCATGGGTCAAATTCTTAGTCTGTGTTTGTTGGTCAGATGAACAAAGCGAGTTCACCTTTGTGAAGTCCTTCACTGGTGGCCTTAGTGCCCATCTCTGCAGCTATACATGCTGGGTACCTGTGTCAGCAAACCTCCATGAAGCCGCTATAGGGCCAAGTTCTCTAAGATCAAGCAGGTGAGTGGGTCCTCTGCATCCCAAGTGGGTCTGGAGTAAAACAGTGCTCTCGAGAAGGCTGGGGCTCAGTGGGCACAGGGCCAGAGGTTTGAGGACAAAGGCACTCCAACAGGGTAAAGAAGCTTGGTCTTTCTGGCAACACTCCTTACCCTTCTGAAACAGTGACCTCTCCAAGAAAATATGCCTACTTAAGCCATATTCCATGCTCAGGCTCCCAGAATCCTACAGCTCAAAAACAACCTGAAGCTGCCCTAGCAGCTCCGCCCTCACGGCCTCCTTTCAGTAGGGCCCTGCTCATGTCGGAGTGTGCTGTGCTTGCCCCATGCCAGCTGGGCGCTGCTTGAGGAGCTGCAGGGAAGTCAGTGGTCTGCACGTGGTGAATTTCCTCTGGCCTGCTGAATCCTGTTCCAAGTAAACCTGCTTGAAATATATGTGCACAATATAAGGCCACCTGTGGTGTCCCAGAGTCCCTCCCCTCAACAAAAATGAGTAAGTTCATTTGCAGCCACATTTTAATTCACAGATGTTTTCTTTAGAACCCTCTGCATCCCACAGCAGCATCCGTGACAGACATATGACCTATTTCTGAAATCCCTTATGCTTTCCAAGTCCTATTTCCTTTGACTTGAAGATTAAAAAAAAAAACAAAAAACTTTGAAATTGTATTTTTACCATTAATTAGTTGGGCTTTGCAATGCCAGTGATCTCTAGTGACGTGTTACCCACAAGCAAGAATTTTCACTGGGACATCTTCTTCTCTGATGATACCATCCTTCCTTTCTCCGGCTTCAGATGCTTTTAAAAAAGTAAGCGGCATCATTCCAGCTATTAAAGAACTGAGAGGGCTCCTTAAAGGCCTTTTAAACTCCTTTTACAATGGCCTCCCCTCATAGGGCCCGAATACCGGCATGGCCATCAACTTTAGAAATTTCTGGCAGCAGAAGGATTTATGCAACTGGCTAAAGACCATTTTCTACTAAAAATTTCATGCTTCAGCATAAAGACGCTCCCTTCCATCCTCCCTTGAGCACATTATAATTATAGTCCTGCCTTACTACGCATGGGGCATTAGTTCCAGGGCCCTTCTCAGAAACAAAATTAGTGGACACTTAAGTCTCTTCTGTGAAACAATGCAGTATTTGCATAAACCTATAAGGTCCTTTCATACACTTTAAATCATCTTCAGATCCTTATTATACCAAATACAATGTAAATAGTAACACCAACTTATTTCGGGAATAATGACAGGGGAAAAGTCTGCTCAGTATGGACGTATTTTTTTGAAATAATTTAAGTCTGTGCTTCATTGAATTGGCAAATGGGGACTCCATGGGCTTGGTGGCCGAATATATGTAGCATCTAGAATATTAGCTGTGACTTAGTTTAGGGGACTTGGCATTTACAGGGAGACTTGACGTGCCCTTGGCAACAGCAGCTGCTGTGAGCTACTGAGTCCTGCTCCTGGCACTTCACTTGTCTCTGTCCTGAAGTCACTCGGTACTCCTGGGAGGAAGCACTGCTCCTGGTGGCTCAGATGGGCAGCACCTGTACTATGCCCTTGACAGGTGTTACGACCTCAAGGACCCACTGGCTGAGGGGTTCTGTGCTATAAACCAGTCTCTAATGCTGGCTAGAGGGCATCTGGACCACTTCATCTCTTCTTGCCAGATCCCCCCAGTCATCCCCCTAGCAACAGCCCCTTCCTCAGCAGGGCCCCAAGATAGCGTCGCCTGAGGGCTTTCCCACAGTGGGCACTGCACAGATGCCCTTCGCTTTTCATAGCTGAGGAACCCGAGACCCAGGGAGCACTGTACCTATGATTGCCAGCTCTTGAGGGGTAAACCTGGAGTTAAGCCCTGTCACGCTCCTTTAAGTCATGGGTGTTTGGGGTGTCTAGAGCTGAGGATTCCTGGTCTTCCTCAAAGTACTGGGCTGGGAGCCAGAATTTAAGGTCTGTGAACCTCAGCTATAGGAAACTCCTCTTGTTCTTCAGTGTTGCTATCTGCAATATGGAACCAATTAGCCACTCCAATTTCTTGTACAAAGCTTTGGAGAAATTGTCTTAACCCCGCAAGACACACTACAGCTCAGTAATCCAGCTACCATGGTTGTCAGGTACAACTGAAAACTGCAAAATTAAAAAAATATGCCTGGATGAGTCAGTTTTTGAAAACACAAGCTGGGCCCATAATGCTTACCACTGGAAGACTTTCCTTACACACAGCCGCCAGCCGCAGCCCAGGCCAGGCTCCGGGATCCCGAGTTTCCCGGGGAGAGGCAGCTGCAGCCAGGCTGTGACCCTGAGAGCCAAGTGGCTCCTGTTTGTGTGGGCAACCCCTTCATGGAGAAAGCTGCTCACATCCTCTGTGCGCAGACATGACCTCACGCTCTCCAGCACAAGGTCTCCAGCCTCATGAGGGCTGAGGGCATGGCGCCCCTCCCTACATGCCTAGAAAGAAGACCCAGGCAGGATCTGAATGCCAGCCCAGAGAGAGACTTTCAC